TTGTAAAAATTTTTGAGTTACTGGAATTAATGAATTTGTATCGTTTCACAATGGTTTGTCTATATTTGCGAATTGGAAAATTTTTGTGTCGCTTAAATTAATAAATTTGGATCTTTTCGTACTGATTTGTCCATGTTTACGTTGTGCACAAATTTTTTAGTCGCTGGAATTAATAAATTTGGATCGTTCCGCAGTGATTTGTCTATGAGTGCGTCCTGGACAAATTTTTAGGTCGCTGGAATTATTGAATTTAGATCGTTTCGCGATCATTTATCTATGTTTGCATTGTGTAAAAATTTTGGAGTCGCTGGAATTAATAAATTTGGTAGTAAATTTGGATCGTTTTGCAGTGATTTATTTATGTGTGTGTCCTGTACAAATTTTTGAATCGCTGGAATTAATAAATTTGGATTGTTTCACAATAATTTGTCTATGTTTGCGACGTGGAAAAATTTTGGAGTCACTGAAACTAGTAAATTTGGATCGTTTCGCAGTGATTTATTTATGTGTGTGTCCTGTAAAAATTTTGGAATCGCTGGAATTAATAAATTTGGATCGTTTCGCAGTGATTGCGACTTCCGGTGTCTCTTCACGGCCTATGTATTATATACGTATAAGTCTGCATGTTGGAGGAATTTTTGGTTTCTCGAGTGAATAAATTTAGATCGTTTCGGAGTGATTTACCTATGATTGTAACGTGTAATAATTTTTCTCTTTCCGAAGGAACGAATTTGGGTAATATATAATAACCGACTTCCGGTGTACTAACTTAGTGATTTGTCTGTGTTCATACCATACGGAAGAATTTTTTGGTACGATTCGGGCTGTTTCGTAGTGATTTATTTGTTTCATAATAATCTTCTATTCGATAATTATACGCGTGGTTGTGAGGAAAAATGCAGGATGTCGCAATTTAAAAAAATTATAGGTTATTTAATGATAGGGTAGCATAGTCGCGATATAATCAGATTTTAATTACAAATGAAAAATATTGCAGTACATAGCCGACGGCTATTATACAAAACGTTCGTTATCTAATTCGATCTAGATTTGTTGCAACACCGTTAAATACGTCTATAGACTGACATTCTGCGACCGAAGAACTTATTTCGATTGCATAATCTGGGTGACAGGAGTTATGGCGAGTATCTCGTAAAAATCACGTAGTTTTAATTCCTCTCGTAATTCCCTTAATTTCTCGCATGACGTGTCAAGTAATTGCATAAAGTAGCAGTTTTCAACACTGCTGTGCTTTGAGAATGCAAGGTGTGTCGTGAGAATTTTTATAACACGCAGTACCTGACTATATTTCACCGAGGATACTAATCCTTTCCACACTTCAATTTTCGAACAAGAAAATAACACAGGCATTGAGTTGAAAATGACACATTTCTAGCATAATTACAGTATAATTTCCTAATTTAACATCGGGAAAATTAAATAATAATAATACCTAATTTAAATACTGATAATATTAACAAACTTCTGAATTTTTTTAATATAGCAATTTATAAGATTGTGATAAAAAGTATTACAAGATTCTAATAATCAAAATTTCTCTGTTTCCTGACACAAAAGAAATGTAAAAATATATTGACAAATTTTCTAATTTAATATCTTTGGAATTAAAGAATAGCAGGTTTTCCAATACCCTAATTTATAAGACTATGATAGAAAGTATTACAAGATTCTAATAATCAAAACTTCCCTGTTTCCTGGCACAAAAGTAGCATAAAAGTATACTCACAAATTTTTTAATTTAATATCGACAGAATTAAAGAATAGTAGGTATTAATCAATTTTCTAATTTTCTAATTTTCTAATTAGAACATCAAATAACAATATTAACCCTTTGCACTCGACGACTTTTTCGTTACAGAAAAATAGTAATTCGAAGACTTTCTTTCGTCATAGAGTCGACGATATTTTTAAAATGGTAACTCAGAAGTCATATGCAAATTAAGATATAGAATTATTTTTCTTCGACATTCCACACATTGTTAGGTAATTTTATATTTGATATATTAATTAACGTCGATCTTTAGAATTTGATTAAATGATAACTGAGAGTCGCCTCTCGAGTACAAAGGGTTAAGGGTTAATAACACCACGATATTCCCCAAATTTTTAATTTCGCCAATACCATAATTTAAAAATACATTAGAAAAATACAAAATTATCATCGAATTATCATCCAACCAAAACGAGAGAAAAAAGAAATAAATGGATAAAAGTAACTCCCACGATCATTTTTTAATTAGAAAATCAAATAACAATATTAACCCTTTGCACTCGACGACTTTTTCGTTACAGAAAAATAGTAATTCGAAGACTTTCTTTCGTCATAGAGTCGACGATATTTTTAAAATGGTAACTCAGAAGTCATATGCAAATTAAGATATAGAATTATTTTTCTTCGACATTCCACACATTGTTAGGTAATTTTATATTTGACATATTAATTAACGTCGATCTTTATTATCGCGGATGGTTGAGAACCGCCTTGATAGCGGCCAGCACGGGTGGTCTCCGGAGGCCGCGCCGTGGCGGAACGAGCAAATACGCCGTCGGCATTTTTGACGGTGAAATCCGACTAGGTGGGGTCCGACGTACCCCGTGTCAGACGTCATTCTCGTGCCCTTCCCGCGTTGCTTTCCGATGAATGCGCGTATCCTTGCTTCGCGCTCGACATGCAACCCGGGACACCCTTCTCTTCGCCTCGGTCCTCCGCATTCGCCTCCAAGGCCTCGCTCTTTTTCCTATGGATCATACTCTTGCTCGCGGATTTCCAGCGTCGCTTCAAGGGATGTTTCCAATTGTTTGTTCATCTTTAGCTAGGTTCACGTTTCTAGCACGCGAGTTTTAACCCTTTGCGATCGTATTATTAAATTTAGACATGGCTGTCGTACTGGTCGCAATTAATTTCCGTTGAAAGAGCAGTGATACATAATATGTCAGATTATGAATTATTTTGTGAACTTTAGGTATATGTTTACATAAGAATGTGTTTCAATGTGGTATCTTTCCAACATGGAGTCCTGGTCTTCGATTACATGTGTCGCAAAAATAATTAGTTTGACGTCTTCCGCCATTGATTTTTGCTGTTCGAATATACAAAACAATCTTTACCCTTTATATTTTGACAGTGCCGCAATATACGTAATTTGCCATTAAGCGTTTCTTCTTTATTTGAGTACAATGGTCTTCCTGATTTTGAAGATACTCCAATTGTTCCACTAAATTCCGGACAAACATGAAATGTGACATAGACGTCTTGTTTTCTGTTTTAGTTGACAGCTTATATAAAATGTAGCTGTTTCAACAAATTATTATACAGGTGTTGACCAGGTAGCTCGAAATCGAATTTTGATTTTGCGTTATCCTGGTAGATGGCAACTAGAAATATAAAAGGACGAATAATCAAAATTACGAGTATAGCAGTTACGTACTATTAGCGTTAATTATAACGCGATACTCTTCTATAATTTTGTCGAATTTACGATTAACATGATGAAGATTAAAGTATGCTCGACGTAAAATAAAACGGAAATTTAATTCTCGATAATGTATAAGTCCGTTGGATAATTTCAATAACAAACGAGCTGTCGAGCCGAGCGCCATCTAGCCTAACATAACCTAATAAATATAAACATAATTACGACGACTTTGGCTCCCAGAGGTAGGAAACAAATTACCCCGTCTAACCGAAGGACAGACATAGATATTTCTAGTTATACGAACGGTTTAACAGATTGCCTAATTAATAAACTAACTGGAATAATCACCATTCAGCATTCTGTTACGATCCACGCGTTTGAACGATCGAAACGGTGAACATCTAATGACTCGTTCGGACAAGATCGATGGGGTTGTCGTGTACGTGACGAGGGCGACGGTTCCGTCCCATAACAGAGCTATTTCCATGTCTTCTTCTGGGAACGCTTTCATTGGTACCCTGCCAGAAATTTTTCCCGGTATATATCCGTAAAGCCATAGAAACGTGTGTTACGACACCGGGCCGCTCTCGATGTTTCTCTTCGAGGAATCGTCCCGAGCATAAACATTACCAGGCCGTCGAAAGCTTAAAGTGGCACGAGTCGCGAATAAAGCGACCGGCCAATCCCTATGGGGCTCCTCGTGACTTTGCCCGACCACGGTTCCAGCCAGCTGAAAGGGTCCAGGTAGTGCGTTTCCCCTTTGAAGAGAGACAACTGCGTTCCAAACCTGTATTTTAGCCGCGGCGTTCTTTTGACGAATTATCAGAAATTACCAGAAACTATCGTAAGGGCGGACCCTAGGAAAGGTCCAATCCAATGGACGCGAGTTTCGTTGAAAATACACGTGAACGTAGTGGGAGTAGCGTGGAGACGTGTCAGGCAGTTGGACATACGTATCGTGTACAGTTCGTACTCGTTTGCAACTTGAATGAAGTGCATAGTGTCAATAGATAGACCTTCTCTAGCACAGTAGTAAAGATAGTCACGCAAATTCTCATTTTGTCGGTTGAAAATGGCTTTGATCACGGTTACGAGGAGGATTGTGTCCTTCTCCGCGATGAAGGAAGAAAATGGGACACCTGGTGACCAAATAGAGCAAGCGATTGGTTGAAAATGGCTTTGATCACGGTTACGAGGAGGATTGTGTCCTTCTCCGCGATGAAGGAAGAGAATGGGACACCTGGTGACCAAATAGAGCAAGCGATACCACCGTACTGTCATTGACATGACAGGATCGCGAGACGAGATAAGGCAAAAAGAGTGTCGACGTAATTTGTCCACTTACCACGTATATGGTAATAGGTTCCAGTAGCGTGAAAGATGGAATGAGAAGGAGTGGAGGGATTATTTCCAAGTGCATACCTCTAAATTCTGACAGTGCGTTTCTTTGGGAAGATTCCTAAATAGGGATAACGTGTCAGATAGTTTGATATATGCGTATACGTCGTTGGACGCGATTGATTTTGTCGAAATTCACCTGACGTTGGTATTTTTTGATCGTAGAAGGCGGAAGGTTGCAAAAAGAGCTGACCTACGCCTCGGAAGCACTGGGTGAAGCAGCCGCCTCGACGCATCAGCTCGTGATCCAAACGCCGAGGCATTCCGGGGCGAATATCTTGCACCCTGCCGCACTCAAGGAACATTTAGCGATCCTGAAGGCGGCGACGCAGGTCACCGTACACCTGTTCGAAATGTAAGCCTTTTTTCTTCTTTTCCTTCTCTTTTATTCCACTGTTTATTCTGCCGTCTCGCGTGATACGAAGCGTCTGACGGACTTGGCGGGAAAGAGGTCTGGATCTTCGTTGAATCTCCATCTGGCGAGGAGTTTTCGGGATTTTTTTGTCGAGATGATAGACAACGACGTTTTACTTAGGCTTAGCGTCAGTTTTATTGTCCGTAGAAATAGTTCTACTTATTTTATTGCAAGTCACCGAGCCTAAGATCCACTGAGAGGCTTAGAAAATGCTTAGAAAAGTCCACCTTCTCCAAGCAAGGGTGCTAGTGTCGAAAGAGTAGAGAAACAGTTTAAAAATACATTAATTACCGAAGAGCAACGTACAGATATAGTCCAATAACGTCTGAGGCTCGTTTAACCCTTTTAGTGCCGAGCGAAAAACGGGCGCCTGTGCATAGATAACCGGACGAATTTGACGAACTTACTAAGCTCATAAAATCCAAACTAAGAGTGATATTTAAAAAATTCAAAATGCAGTGTATTACGGGAGAAAGGGAGAATAACGTAATGCCAATTGTATTTAAATATTTATTAAAAATCATACGAATAACATCAATGTAAAACACGACGTAAAACATAGAAACAAGTTTCTTTTCCACAAACAATATTTGCACATAAGAATAATCGTTTGATCACAGTTTTACATAGTTCACATAGTATGAAGTATAACTATTACATTTTCAATAATTTTTAATAAATTAACCAATATCGGTCAATTTTAGCCTAGGCACTAACCAGCATAGAATATAACAAAAAGTTAAGCCCAAATAGAATTTTTTAAATTCTTTTGCAACGAAATTAGACCGTTTATAACGTTTTATAAATTCATTTTGAGCTTTCTCGCACTGTGAAGAATAAGGCGCCATCGCATACGCAACGATATATCATCGTTGGCACTTATCGCAAGTGTAGCGAACGACGATATATCGTCGTCCAGCACTAAAAGGGTTAAAGAAACGAAGGAACTTCTTGAGTTAAATATCGATCTCGTCTGACAGTTACAACGACGCCACTCGTTGAGAAGAGTAGAATACATCGAAAGGTCAATCTTCTCGGGATGAAGCGTAACTTTCCAATGAAAATAGCCTAATTTCGAACAAGTAACGGACGGAAAGTGACAGTGTTCTTGACAAACATCTTTTCGAAACTCGTTCCAACCTCTTTCCCGCGAACTTCGTGGACACCCCGTGAGTACCGGGGAGCGGCTGACTGAGAGACGCGATCGCCATCGTTTCGAGTTTTTCTCGAGAGCTCTTACCAAGCCGCAGTTATCGGCGAGACGGGGGTTAAAGGGATGCAAAACTTGTATTCATGAATGCATGTGTTCCGTGTCGCTTGCAGCACGTGGAAGCTGAAAGACATGTGTTACGCGCTGAACATACCCAACTTCGACATGCACTACATCGACCAGGTAATTTAGAACTACCACCACTTTACGTAGATGTAAGTGATACGCCGGACTACATACGTGTTCGTCGACTGTTCAGGTATTCGACGCGTGAAGTACGATATCGCGTTATTGTGCGCGCTCTGTGACTTCTCGATTTCCATTAGGAAACATCGAAACTAGCGATGGCTACGATAACGCTCCGATCATGCTTCTTCCACCAACGATGCGTAGGCGTTGCTTCCCGACCGGCGCAGTTCACTTTTCTATCAGAAACATAATAGTTACAATCTTCCGTTTCATTCGATGTAAAGTAATTCGATCTATGGTATCATACGAATTTCCTGTAAAATTACTTTAACAAATATATTCACCGAACAGAGTAGCACTTGGATTTTTTTTTTACCTTGAAACATTTTGATTTTAAGTAACTTAAGTTATTTAAGTATATGTTTCTTTTGAAATATTCGACGTTTTGGGAATTAAATTAATTAAGACGAACTTTCAAATTCGGTTTAATAATTTGTAAGAAATAGTACTATTTTGTTGTAATTGTAAAGATCAATGTCGCGCAGAATAAGGAATTTTTGCCTTAAAATATACAGTTTCATAATTACTAACTGAAAAAATTGATTTACAATTGTTATTTTCGATTTAACGTTCATCCCCCATTTCCTAACCTCAAATAAACTTTACATCTCCATTGAAAGAAAGATATATACAATTGCCTTCGCCAGAAGCAATGTTCCTTAGTCTGCGTCCATTTAATAACAAATATATGACATGTAATATAAAATGGAGGAATCGTAAGATTCTCAGAGTGGTAGGAAAAGCAGGAGACAAAATCGTGCCCATCGCTAGGCGCAGCACGTATCCGCGCCGGATCCCTTCGTTTGTTTCCCGGGCGTCCAGTCGCCACGTCGTTCCCGAACAGCTCACGTACAGTCGTAAACGTCGAAAATTGAATACGACGCTTGAAAAGCCGAACGGGGACGACGGTTTGCACGTATAAGTCGCGCGTTCGTATCCCGCGCTCACGCGTGCTGCGCCGTTTCTTGCGCGCCGCTAACGAGCAGACGCGTTAGACGCGTTTCGAGGGACGGGAAAAGGGAAAACCGCGAAAGCAGCGTGAGAGACACGCAGCGCTCCGAGCGGCGCTTCCGCGGTGTTACCGGCCGAGTTTCACCGCGCTGCTGCTGCTCTCGATTTAGTGCTCTAATTTTTTTTACCGCCATCAAGGGAACGGTCGATCTTCCACTGTTTCTGAAGTGATCGCGACGATTCAGCGAGTTCGATATCAGTGAGATAGTGGGCAAATTTTACGTTGACACTTTTGGTTAGAGTTTCCGATGATATCTGGGATTCCTAACCTCTTTGCTGCGGTGCTCGTAGTGACAATTTCATACACCACGTGTTTTGCAATAAAGTGTTATCTACGCTAATAATATACAATTGTATATTTGAATTGAGAAATTGCGTGATAGCTGACAGATTAGTTGTAATGAGAAACGTCAACAATCGAGTGAACGACAATCAGGTGTGTACGTATTCCTTCGGCTATTATCGATTATTTTCGTTGCTGGAGGTGCATTCGGAGATAGTCGGTCAAAGTGGGCGCTTCTATTGAACAGATATTGGGTTTTATATTTATTTCCTATTTTCGAGGCTGTTTGTTAACTGGTGCGGATTAAACGTTCAAATTACTTTTAAGGAATTAAATTTTTTGAAAATTTGTGAATTTATAAGAGGAAAGACATAGCAGATGTAAAATAGTTCGGAGATTGAATCTACGTACAGAGCCAATTAATGATGCATTGATAAAAGCGGAATCTTCGAAGCCGGTAATCATAAAAATTAAATTCTGAGATAAAGGTACCACTTCATATTTTCGATGTCCATTTTTTCCCGACAGCTTAAATCGTACATTACGATTGTAACACCAGCTACGAAACACTCGGTATAATTGTAGAGTAGAGAGATTGAAACATAGGAACGGTACGTAATTTCACAGAAACGATCACCAACGTCCGTGCGATTCATCAAGTTTCAATCTCGTAGTTTCTGTTGAATGATAGATGTTCCGGTATGCAGGAATTGCCCGGAGCCGCCGACTAAATCACATAGCGGTGTCCTGTATCTCAGGCAAACAGGAATATTATTATCCAAGGGCTAGGTATGAGGTGCCTTGCTTTTAACACGACTGCGTCTCCTGTCCCTGATAACTGCAATCGTCTTTACACTCGCAGAGCAAATTACTGTTTACATGAATAACGTGATTGAAATAGTACGTAATTGATATATAATATCTACGAGAGAAATATACTATTCATGAGGTAGGATATTTAATTCACACGATGTATTTTCGCACGAGCCCACTCGAACACAATTTTTATTCCATCAATTACGGACGAAATGTACTTACAGCACCCTGCATGCACGCAACTTGCTATACGTACACTCGTACTCACAGTTGCGGTGTTTCAGGCTCCTCTCATTCCGTACATTATTTTCTTTGTAAATAAAGCGTTTACTTAATATCACACTATAAATCAACTTATAAATCATTTTATACAAGTGGACGCAGTTTGAATTTAAAATTTTAATTAATTTTAACTAGTATGAAGTGCAATCTTTTATTAGTAACTTCGAAACAAAATTCGAATAAATTGTAATATTTCTGTAAATTATTCGTACGACAATATTCGTAAAAACTAAAATTTCTTTATTTCATTCATTATTTAAGTATAAAAAGCTTTGTGTGACACACTTCGACAAAATCGATGCAACGGATATTTTTCATTTTATTACAATTATATTGTTTCAATAACAGCAGTTCCAAGAAATGACGTCACTTTCTTAGAAATTCTAGACGCCAGAAGTTTGATGCCAGTTTTGTCAAATTGTAACAAGAGAATATGATGTCATAGGAGGTATTTCGCCCCAGGCAATTCCAAGAAATGACGTCACTTTCTTAGAAATTCTAGACGCCAGAAGTTTGATGCCAGTTTTGTCAAATTGTAACAAGAGAATATGATGTCATAGGAGGTATTTCGCCCAGGCAATTCCGAGAAATGACGTCAGTTTCCAAGAAATTGTTGCAGCCAGAAGTTTGGTGACAGTTTTTCCAATTTGTGACAGGAGAATATGATGCCGTAGGAGGTATTTCGCCCCAGGCAATTCCGAGAAATGACGTCAGTTTCCAAGAAATTGTTGCAGCCAGAAGTTTGGTGACAGTTTTTCCAATTTGTAACAGGAGAAAATGATGCCGTAGGAGGTATTTCGCCCCAGGCAATTCCGAGAAATGACGTCAGTTTCCTAGAAAGTCTCGCGGCCAGAAGTTTGGTGCCACTTTTGCCAATTTTTAACAGGACAATATGATGCCGTAGAAGGTATTTCGCCCCAGGCAATTCCAAGAAATGACGTCAGTTTCCAATAAACTCTCGCGGCCAGAAGTTTGGATCCAGTTTTGCCAATTTGTGACAGGAGAATATGATGCCGTAGAAGGTATTTCGCCCAGGCAATTCCGAGAAATGACGTCAGTTTCCAAGAAATTGTTGCAGCCAGAAGTTTGGTGACAGTTTTTCCAATTTGTGACAGGAGAATATGATGCCGTAGGAGGTATTTCGCCCCAGGCAATTCCGAGAAATGACGCCAGTTTCCAAGAAATTGTTGCAGCCAGAAGTTTGGTGACAGTTTTTCCAATTTGTAACAGGAGAAAATGATGCCGTAGGAGGTATTTCGCCCCAGGCAATTCCGAGAAATGACGTCAGTTTCCTAGAAAGTCTCGACGCCAGATGTTTGGTGCCAGTTTTGCCAATTTGTAACAGGAGAATATGATGCCGTAGGAGGTATTTCGCCCCAGGCAATTCCGAGAAATGACGTCAGTTTCCTAGAAAGTCTCGCGGCCAGAAGTTTGGTGCCACTTTTGCCAATTTTTAACAGGACAATATGATGCCGTAGAAGGTATTTCGCCCCAGGCAATTCCGAGAAATGACGTCAGTTTCCTAGAAAGTCTCGCGGCCAGAAGTTTGGTGCCACTTTTGCCAATTTTTAACAGGACAATATGATGCCGTAGAAGGTATTTCGCCCCAGGCAATTCCAAGAAATGACGTCAGTTTCCTAGAAAATCTCGCGGCTGGAGGTTTGATTCCAGTTTTGCCAATTTGTAACAGGAGAATATGATGCCGTAGGAGGTATTTTGCCCCAGGCAATTCCGAGAAATGTCGTCAGTTTCCAAGAAATTGTTCCATCCAGAAGTTCGGTGCCAGTTTTTCCAATTTGTAACAGGCGAATATGATGCCGTAGGAGGTATTTCGCCCCAGGCAATTCCGAGAAATGTCGTCAGTTTCCAAGAAATTGTTCCATCCAGAAGTTCGGTGCCAGTTTTTCCAATTTGTAACAGGCGAATATGATGCCGTAGGAGGTATTTCGCCCCAGGCAATTCCGAGAAATGTCGTCAGTTTCCAAGAAATTGTTCCATCCAGAAGTTCGGTGCCAGTTTTTCCAATTTGTAACAGGCGAATATGATGCCGTAGGAGGTATTTCGCCCCAGGCAATTCCGAGAAATGTCGTCAGTTTCCTAGAATGTCTCGCGGCCAGAAGTTTGGTGCCAGTTTTGCCAATTTGTAACAGGAGAATATGATGCCATGGGAGGTATTTCGCCCCAGGCAATTCCGAGAAATGACGTCAGTTTCCTAGAATGTCTCGACGCCAGATGTTTGGTGCCAGTTTTGCCAATTTGTAACAGGAGAATATGATGCCATAGAAGGTATTTCGCCCCAGGCAATTCCGAGGAATGTCGTCAGTTTCCTAGAATGTCTCGACGCCAGATGTTTAGTGCCAGTTTTGCCAATTTGTAACAGGACAATATGATGCCGTAGGAGGTATTTCGCCCCAGGCAATTCCAAGAAATGACTTCTGTTTCCAGGAAATTCCCGCGGCTGGAGGTTTGATTCCAGTTTTGCCAATTTGTAACAGGACAGTATGATGCCGTAGGAGGTATTTCGCCCCAGTCAATTCCGAGAAATGACGTCAGATTCCTAGAAAGTCTCGCGGCCAGAAGTTTGGTGCCAGTTTTGCCAATTTGTAACAGGAGAATATGATGCCATGGGAGGTATTTCGCCCCAGGCAATTCCAAGAAATGACGTCTGTTTCCAGGAAATTATCGCGGCTGGAGGTTTGATTCCAGTTTTGCCAATAGTTAACAGGAGAATATGATGCCGACGGAGGTATTTCGCCCCAGGCATTTTCAAGAACTGACGTCAGTTTCCAAGAAATTGTTGCAGCCAGAAGTTTGGTGCCAGTTTTTCCAATTTGCAACAGGAGAATATGATGCCGTAGGAGGTATTTCGCCCCAGTCAATTCCGAGAAATGACGTCAGTTTCCAAGAAATTGTTGCAGCCAGAAGTTTGGTGCCAGTTTTGTCAATTTGTAACAGGAGAATATGATGCCGTGGGAGGTATTTCGCCCCAGGCATTTTCGAGAACTGACGTCACTTTCCTGGGAATTCTCTACGCCAGAAGTTTGGTGCCAGTTTTGTCAATTTGTAACAGGAGAATATGATGCCGTGGGAGGTATTTCGCCCCAGGCATTTTCGAGAACTGACGTCACTTTCCTGGGAATTCTCTACGCCAGAAGTTTGGTGCCAGTTTTGTCAATTTGTAACAGGAGAATATGATGTCGAAGGAGGTATTTTGCCCCAGGCATTTTCGAGAACTGACGTCATTTTCCTGGAAATTCTCTACGCCAGAAGTTTGGTGCTAGTTTTGCCAATTTGTAACAGGAGAATATGATGTCGAAGGAATTATTTCGCTCCAGGCATTTCCGAGAAGTGACGTCCCTTTGCTAGAAATTCTCTGCGCCAGAAGTTTGGTGCCAGTTTTGCCAATTTGTAACAGGAGAATATGATGCTGTAGGAAGTATTTCGCCCCTGGAAATTCGTAGTTATTGACGACATATTGTTACCAATTTACATAACTAAAATTCACGGAGTTTCGTATAATCCTTTGTTCAAATTGTGCCTCGTGTTATCACATCGATGCGGTAGGAGGTACTTAATTCTCGGCAACTCGAAAAAGATAATGTCAATTTGTTTAAATTTTTGGAAACTAAAATTGAATTTGTATTGGATGAATTTATGGTGCATTATCTTTTGAGATTTAAAATCATTTAATATATCTTATCCGCAACTTCAATCAATTGTGTCCAATTTTTAATTAACCCATTCATTAAATTCTTTAAACGCCTGTTCATTACCCAATACCACCAGCGAGGAAAGTTAGTATGCGAACTTTTATTTGGAACAAAGACGTATAAGAATAAGAAATTCACGAAAGAAGCTGTTTACCTGTATCGTCTCGCGTTCGTGTGTAGAAAAGATTACGGTGGGGTAAAAACGTGAATCGCATACGACACAATTTAATACAGTTCGCGTTGATACCTTGTTATTATGCAAAGCTAATAGCACTGTTGTCCATTTAACCTGGCCCTCACTCTTTGTGTGTTTCCTCTGTTTTACCCGTTTATTAATTGTAACTTCCCAACCGATTGTTATAACCAATATTAATATCTTATAATTATCCGCAGTTTCGAAATTTTGAAATTTGATATCAATCTTCTTTTCCACGTCCATTACGCTGCATTTTACTAATACACTGGCAATGAGCTTAAAATTTTGACCCAACGGCCAATTTAAGTTTACTGAAATTAGTCCATTATTAAACTTATTAATAAAGATACACAGGGTCCATGAAGATCCTTTTATGAAATCATTTTTTTAAAAACAAGACGCAATTCCTTCTTCCATTTTTTGGCAGAATGCAATTTTCGAATATAAGGATTATATTCTGCTTGGTCTACTCCTTATCTTTATATCTAAATCTTATATATTTATTATTTTTCTGAAAGCTCTATTACTATTTTCTCTGCAATAAATTTTGTGAAGATCTGCACGATACTCTGTCGCAATATTTTCATTCGTCTCTTTATAATGAACTATCCACTTATCTGCTTCGAATGGAATCTATTAATTCATCATCAAATGTCTATGTACCTTCCATGCTAAAATCAAAATGAAAACAAGAACGTTTTACCAGTCGCACACGAATTAATACCGCCATAATTGTCCACCGCGAAGGGGGCAACGGAAAAAGAGGAGCTTAACGCGTCCTCGATTAAATTTCGTCGCGCAACTGCGGGGACCACCTTGACGACAATGTAACGAATGTCCGCTAGGTTCCTCGAATCCTATCCAAATTCATATTATTCGTAAATCAAGGGGGCCGAAAAAACGAAACGCTTCGCTGGAGAGACCGCCCTATTCGAGTTTCCGAGAACACACAGGTGGCCTCCCATAATGCCTCGCTACCAAGAAAAACCTTATGGCGATCGTTAGTGTCCACTATCGAAGAAAAGGAGAAATAATCGTAAATCGGTGCCGGGAACTTACGATTCGTCATCGAATAATTCATTAAATACATCGGAACGTGACAATTTCTTTCGTCCCCTTGCTCTAAGAGAACATTGTGCTAGACTGGCCTCTATGATGTCCCATGACTGAGACGGTCCGTCGATTTCATTCGTTTCGTCGTTCGAACTCGCTGAATCGATCGTTTCTGTCATTCCTCTCTGACCCTCGAGTCTTTTCCTACAGACTGACAATTGACAAATTATTTTTATTTCTAAATCGATGCAATATCCTGTAGTCTCTCGTGAAAGTATTTGTACAATTGTGTCTCACTTGTGACAAACGTAGTGCATTTGAACTTCGAGGATGATACTGCATTTATGGGAACATGCTGGTGGGATGGGAATAACTCTTTAAGTCTGAACATATTGCGAAAATTATGTAGGAGATGCAAAATTATTCGAGCATACGAATTTTTCAAAAATATTCCACAATGCGAATTATTTCTGTATTAATTTATGTTATTTATGGGTATTTAATTAATAATTATTTATTTAATTATAATATTATTATTGATTAATATTGATTAATAATTAGTATTTAACCCTTTGCGCTCGACGATTTTTTGGCTAAAGAGGGGTACGAGTTGAATGACTGATGATATTTTTTGAGCAGTGAATAAGAAATAGTATAATAATTAACACGTTAAAAGAATTATTTAATTTCGATATTTCACATAATAGTACATTATTTTAAATTTGATATATTAATTAATATCGAGCTTCGAAATTTTATGAAATGGCGACTGAAGGGCGCCTCTCGAGTGCAAAGGGTTAATACTTTTAGCATTGTAATCACGATTAGTCAGAGTCTCTGTATAGGTGTATTTCACTGCAGTAATTATTTTCGAAAATAAAAGACACTCGAATGCTTCCACGACCGACTGCATACTTGTTTTCTATGTCTTTGTAGCCAATTTTCACGATTAAAAATTAAAGAAATCGGAGAATATCAGGGGTTGGAGAAGACCCGAGGTTTACGTGGGTCGAAATCGAATTCTCTAGTAATTGCAAAATTTCGTGGAACGAAACAAAGCCATTTTCAATCGTGTAAAATATTCGGAAATGTATTGTGATATTATTTTTGATTAATGGATTAGTAGAGCAGCTCGTAACGAATGTTTAATTCTAGATCTTCGATAGTATCATACCATGCGCCATCATTACACCCCTCGACTGTTTCTGGGAAGGTAGCAAGCTCCTGGGCCCCGAGTACCCCGTGCACATACCGTAAGTATAATAAAAGCATGTTTGGAAAAATGTTACCTTTATTTGAAATTTATTAGACCGTATAATTTCGTAATTTACGACTGAGCGATCGTCGTTCGTCGGATGATCGAGTAAATCTTCGTTGGCTGTAAAAATCAGCGGGCTAATTAATCGGGAATACGCGTAGAATTAATTTGTCTGAATATTCATTTACCTTCTATGATTATCGTTGAATGCATGGCCGAGCTTTTTGCGGTATAAGAAGCAAGCCGAGGCTTCGCATAACTATACACGAAACGCTTGGTGTAGCTTATGGATGCAGATATTATACTTCTTGAACTAATTAGACGTGCGTTCGAGTGACTTTATCGTGGATAATTAGCCTTCTAAATTTCTCCGATTGGAATTTCATGTTATAACACTTTATTACTATAGTATTACTCTAATATTATTACCATAGTATTACTGTAGTGCTATAGTACTTTATTCGCCATCGTTTGTTATTATTCATTAGAATTTCGAAATTTTGCGTGCCTATTTTCAAAAGCTCTAAATTTCAAAAACGTTCCAAATTTCTCCGATTGAAATTTCATGTTATAGTACTTTATTACTATAGTATTACTATAATATTATTACCATAGTATTACTGTAATACTATAGTACTTTTTATTATAATACCTTATTCGCCATCGTTTGTTATTATCCATTAGAAGTTCGAAATTTTGCACTCCGGTTTTCAAAAGCTCTAAATTTCAAAAACGTTCCAAATTTCTCCGATTGAAATTTCATGTTATAGTACTTTATTACCATAGTATTACTATAATATTATTACCATAGTATTACTGTAATACTATAGTACTTTTTATTATAATACCTTATTCGCCATCGTTTGTTATTATCCATTAGAAGTTCGAAATTTTGCACTCCGGATTTCAAAAGCCCTAAATTTCAAAAGCGTTCCAAATTTCTCCGATTGAAATTTCATGTTATAGTACTTTATTACTATAGTATTACTATAATATTATTACCATAGTATTACTGTAGTGCTATAATACTTTTTACTATAGTACTTTATTCGCCATCGTTTGTTATTATCCATTAGAAGTTCGAAATTTTGCACTCCGGTTTTCAAAAGCTCTAAATTTCAAAAACGTTCCAAATTTCTCCGATTGAAATTTCATGTTATAGTACTTTATTACTATAGTATTACTATAATATTATTACCATAGTATTACTGTAATACTATAGTACTTTTTATTATAATACCTTATTCGCCATCGTTCGTTATTATCCATTAGAAGTTCGAAATTTTGCACTCCAGTTTTCAAAAGCCTCGTATTTTTTCGTGCGAGCAATTTAGAAACAATTCAGAACAATTTACGAGCAATTTCACGGTCCCTGTATGTAAAAATTCGATTTTATAAATTAATTTATAATTTCTTTTACCGGAGTCGAGTCACACTAAAGTGATACTGCTCGTGGGTTCTTGCTCGTAAAGATTAATTCCAACTCTAACTTCATTTTTCCACGAGGATAATTATTATCGTCACGAATTATGTATAACGAACAGGCTGTTCCGAGGGTAAATAGTACTCGGTAACGGTTAGTAATTAACTATCAAAAGAATAGCAAAGCTTGAAGATAATTCTAGTTCCAACAGATCGATCAAATTATTGACTAGCTATGAGCCTGCTATCTTCGCGATTATCTAAAACGTGCAATTGCTTTTGACGAAATTAATCATTAATTAATTGCGCGTCGGTAATATCTAGGGAATTGCAATTATGAATTACTGAAATATTAACTACATACTTACATACTTCGTCACTTCACTGTTACATAATTATTACATAATTATTATCTCGATTACAAGTCAGCAATTCCAACATAAAGGTCCCTCGAATCGCGAGAAGGAATTTCTGCAGAAAGTTAGTCCAACGAAGGTTCCGAAATTAAATCGCGATATCCTCGCGATTATTTTTAATTACTATAAATTATTATCGATTATTGTTAATTGCGACTAGTATTTAATTATACTATATAAATTATAATTCTATTTAAATTACAATACTATTTCAATTATAATTCTATTTAAATTACAATACTATTTAAATTATAGTTCTATTTAAATTACAATACTATTTCAATTATAATATCATTGGAAAAAATTTGGTATCATTAACAACCCTTTGCACTCGAGAGGCACCCTTCAGTCGCCATTTAATAAAATTTCGAAGATCGATATTAATTAATACGTGAAATTTAAGATAACGTAACGATGTGTGAAATATCGAAATCAAATAATTCCACGTATTAATTATTATACTATTTCTTATTTACTGCTGAAAAAAGTATCGTCAGCTTTATAGCAGAAAATCTTTGAACTCCTACATTTTCCTTAACTAAAATGTCGTCGAGTGCAAAGGGTTAATTAACGATCGCTCGGTTGGGTAATCGCGAAAAATACGCAAATATGGCGGACAAAATGATTGATCTTACCTTTCGATTATCGTGCCACGGCAGGGGCGCCCAGGCACACAAGCCGGTGCAGTGGACGAATCTGAATCCGTCGGGGATGCTGGACGAGATGAAGAAACTGCAGTTCATGTTTCCCTTCAAAATTCTGGAGGACTACATGAAGAGGGCCGGGATAACGAACGGCTACCAAAGCAAGCCCTGCCTCGACCCGACGGACCCGGAGTGTCCGGAAACCGCGCCCAACAAAAAATCGCAGCAGGTAAGCAAGCTTCTCAGAGCGAGCAGAGCCAGCAAACGCACCTTGTCTCCGAGATTGTAGTACGAGCCGGCCGTGTGTCCACCGATTAAGGTGAAAGTCTTCGCGTGTAATTGTTGATACACGGGTAGTCCGACGCGTTTCGTGGCGTCGTCTTTTGATACCGACAAATTCGGATTAAATTGCGCAAAAAGGATGCTCGTAACCGTTGCTGTGAATTGGCTTGGTAAAAAGGCAGTCGGAATGTACGAGTTTTCTTCCCTTCTTTTTTCTCTTTCCTTTCTTTCTATCTCTTTTCTCGTCTGCTTCCTCCTTTTCCCAAGTACTGTCACGATTTTTCCGTGTGGATCTTGTGTGATGATGATCTACGAAGATTATTAAACGGAAGATCCGTGTTTTATACGTGGTAGTTGAATTTAGGGTGATAGGACGAGGGTGGTCCATGAGGTTGACAGGTCTTCCATTTTGTTTCGCAGTTTTGGTAAAATAGAGTGAAAATTTGTCCGTTGATCTTTGCTTTTGGGGACGCTGAATGTGACTAATTTATTAATTTATTAATTAATCATAGGGTATATTTGGAATTTTATATTTGGTCGGTTTGACATTTGACACGCGTGACTACTGGCTTTTCTAGCACTAAACGTACCGGTGTTTTACACCTGTTACACCTGTTCTTACCATAAGGAGTCAAGTGATCCCTCGTGGTATATAAGGTATACAAAGAATTTTTCTCGGTGAAGAATAAGTTAAGAGAAAAACGGAAAGCGAGAAATTAAACAATCAGATAATATGAGAATTTGCAGAAAATCAAATGGGCGAAAGAAATAACAACGAATGTACAATTTATAAAGTAAATTTTGAAAGGGGTTATTTAACTCCGTTTTGTACGTTTAGTGTTAAAAGAAAAGAAAACTCACTGTAATATGATTTCCTCGACTCACACGTACATCATTTTCCAAATCAACCTGTTGCAACGCTGTAACTCACGATTGAAATTTCACGGAGTTGTAAGGGTTGCGAGGCTGACATGATAGGGTTGAGACTGCAATCTAATCGAACTTAAATAATTTAGTCCTGGTTAGGACTTATTTTATTATTTTTATTATTACTTGTAAAGTAACTGTGAATTGAAAATTGCAACGCTAATTACCAATTTTAACCTTACCAAATTGAATCGAAGTCGTTGGTTGAGTTTAATCCCTTGACTACGGCAGATTTTGATACGCAACGGCCGTACCATATGGCAGGAGTTGAGTTACGATGTGCACCATTTTTGTGAAAACAAGCGCCCTCCGTGTCAGAAAGCCAAACTACGCCGCGCATCCATAGGTGACCTTCGTGTTACAAACGCAAAATTTTTAAGCGCCCATAAGCACCCTTCGTGTCACAAACGCAAAATCTCTAAGCGCCCATAGGCGCCCTTCGTGTCACAAACACAAAATTTCTAAGAGTCTATAGGCGCCCTTCGTGTCACAAACACAAAATTTCTAAGAGTCTGTAGGCGCCCTTCGTGTCACAAACGCAAAATTTCTAAGCGCCCTTCGTGTCACAAACGCAAAATTTCTAAGCGCCCTTCGTGTCACAAACGCAAAATTTCTAAGCGCCCTTCGTGTTACAAACGCAAAATTTCTAAGCGCCTATAAGCACCCTTCGTGTCACAAACGCAAAATTTTTGAGCGCCCATAAGCACCCTTCGTGTCACAAACGCAAAAGCTCTAAGCGCCCATAGGCGCCCTTCGTGTCACAAACACAAAATTTCTAAGAGTCTATAGGCGCCCTTCGTGTCACAAACACAAAATTTCTAAGAGTCTGTAGGCGCCCTTCGTGTCACAAACGCAAAATTTATAGGCGCCCTTCGTGTCACAAACGCAAAATTTCTAAGCGCCCTTCGTGTCACAAACGCAAAATTTCTAAGCGCCCTTCGTGTCACAAACGCAAAATCTCTAAGCGCCCATAAGCGCCCTTCGTGTCACAAACGTAAAATCCCTAAGCGCCCATAGGCGCCCTTCGTGTTACAAACGCAAAATTTCTAAGCGCCCATAGGCGCCCACAGTAGTCAAGTTGTTAATCTACTCGACACGGGAGTCTATGTTCGAATCCGCTGGGTCCACGCGTGCCACTGTTTATATAACTTTGGGTGCGTCGCGGTTGGTCGGCGCGAGGCCTGCGTGAAGCTAGCATGTTTACCTATTGGTCGTGTCTCTTAGCTCCGCGTATTGGCTACGACTTGGCTCCTCGATGGCGGGAAGCATATAAACAAACACCATGATTTATGGCCCTTTCCTAGGAACTGACATGTCCAGGTGACTGTCAACGCAACACCGGTAATAAACAAACGAACCAATTTCCAACTCGACTTAGGAATCTCGGTCTCGGGCACCTACTCGAGACTGACCTCTTCGCGAAATTCTCGCGGATATCAGGCTCGGTTCATGCCCTCGCGTCGGTCATTCTTGACCGTCTGGCTACGCTATCTCAGGTAGCAAGTTCGTGACACGCGTGTTACGCCACACGCCAGGCCGATTGGTAACGTAGCGCGGATCGTGCGGCAAAAAGCCCGCCAACCACTTATTAGCACGCTTGTCCATGCGTCAGTGGGATCGATGTTATAACTCATAGGGCTACGTGCAATTATGCCGGGTCCGTTTATTAGCTTTAATTCTGTCTTAGCCTGGTTCATAGCGGGATTTACGGCCGCGATCGATCTCTCGGCCGCGAGATCCATGCTCGTGAATAATCGTCGCGTATCGCCATTGCGGAACGTCGAATTGCAAAGCTGTCGAGGGGGTTCATACGAGTTTTATGTTGATAAATAAGTTTATAAAATGTGAGCAAAAATAGCGTTCATTTAATAAAACTGTAACGCTTTGTATCGGGATTACGAGTGAAAAGAAATAACTATCTTTAATTTTAATTAGGAGAACAGGAAAGGAGAAAATTTAAAAAATTGGAGAAATATTGGAAAATTGATTATTATTATTATTTAAGGATTTAAAGGTTCAGGGTTTTATAATTTTGTTTTATTCTTACTTTGGTACAGCAGATAATCTTTATTCGCATGGTTATAGCTCTTTTCGTACTGACTAAGTATAAAATCGCATAATAGATGTTAGCATTAGTTCCATAGATGGAACTACGTGATCTATGTACATATGTCGCGATTATGGAGCACGCGTGTTTTAACAATTATACGTACGCTAAAAGCCATCACGCAGGCAAGTGACCGAGGCAACGCTGAATGCGGAATTTTAAATCGAATGTTTAAAGATATTATGTTATTTATAGGAAGTGGTAGGTTTAGTATTGAAACGTGTCGGAGCTTCGTGAAACGCACGTTTCCATTTGGAATTCTAGCATCGTGTAATTATAATACTTGGGTACTAATACAGTGTAGGGTAAAAGCTAAGTTTTTCGACCCTTTGTACTCTGACAATTTTTTGATACAATTTAGAAAAGCTCTAGTACACTTTTGACATAAGAATCCTCTTAAAATTAGAAATGTAAATTTATTTATGTAATAACCTTTTCCCTTTTCTATTATTTTTTGAAAGAAAAGCGAAACCAAATAAGTTATTCTAATTTAATTAATATAATTTATTATAATTAATATAATTTTGAAGAGCTCTAGTACCCTTTTGACATGAAAACCCTTTTAAAATCATAAATATAAATTTGTTTATATAATAAGCTTTCCCCCTTTCTATTATTTTTTGAAATAAAAATGAAACCAAATAAGTTACTATAATTTAATTAATATAATTTATATAATTTATTATAATTAATATAATTTTGAAGAGCTA